ACAGAAAAACAATTATAGCAAATTCCTTGCTCTAACAGGTATTATCTTCTTTTGGGAAGAACTTGGGATTTTATTTGGCTTTAGTTGTAAATTAGCCTCTCTGCAGTGTGGGCATCATTTTTTCTTTTGCCAGCTGTGAGATGGGGTCAGTCTTCTTTCTCTCTTCTTTTCCTACTCCCTTTATGTTTACTTGGCTTGTTGAGCCAGTTAAATGGCAATAGATTTAAGCTCAAGAAGTCCAAATTTAGCCCAAAGAAATCCAACTTTGGCCCTGATTAAATCAATTCAAGCCTCTATACTCAGGACCAACTTTTAAACATGAAGAAGTCTATTTTAATTCCATTCTTACAAAATAACTATTGAATAAGCCAGTTCATTTGGCTAAGACTATAGAGTTGATGATGTTCAAATCTTATATCTCTTTCTGTGAACAGTATAATATAATGGTGATCTGAATAAGCCAAACTAAATCAGAAATCCTAGACTGTAGAGCAGATTCTGCTTTTAACTGTGTAACCTATGTGCAATTTACTTAACCTCTTTGGTCTGCAGTTGCCAGATGTATATAATAAGGAATTTCTCTAAAATGCAATATCTCCAATGTCCTATTTCCACTGGATGGTACAATGCAAATTCAAGCTGAAGGCATAGTAACTTAAATAAAGTTCAGAATGTTTATTTTATAACTTTTCAGAACCTTCAATATATCTTTTTAATCTCCAACAGGGAAATATAATGTACAGCAAACTTTTTCATAAAACACATCAGATGTCAGATGTATGTATTTTGGTAAATGCACTGTAATTCTCCACATCTAATATATCAGAGTCCCAGAAAGAAACAGAAGGCAACTTCAAGTAGAGAATTTGAGAAGTATAATGATGATTTACAAAGGTACAGGCAGGGTGTAGGGAAACTGACACAGGGCAATAATCTACCATGTGACTTAGTCACAAGTGGAACCCTGTTATGGTTTGGGTCTACATGTCCCCTCAAAGCCTCATGTGGTCATAGGATTGATCTAGAGTGTGTGAAGCTGGAATTGATTTGTGATGCAATAGTCTCAAAGGCATTAGGATTAAGGGTGTGAATGCTCCCCACACTAAGTAGTCTGAATAAGATGAAAGGGGCGGAGACCACTGTTAACTTTCCCTCTTACCTTTGATGCCTTGTGCATGCCATACTGTTCCTCCTCTGCCATGCCCCTTTGTCATTCCTGCCTTTGAGTTGGCTGATTATGGATTGAAACCTCTATGAACTGTAAGCCAAATAAACCCCTTCCCCTTTAACTTTAGGTGTCCAGTATTTCATCTCAGCATTGAGAGAAAAGTAACTAAAACAGAAATTTGGTGCTGAGAGCGGGGTCGTTGCTGTGACATTACCTGTCCATGTGACTCAAAAGCCTTTGGAGCTGTCTTGTGAGAAGGAGAAGAGTTAGGAAAGATCTAGAGATGCTGGCTACAGAAGCAGCTCTGGAACACCTTAGGCTGTTTTATATGGGAGATTCTGCTCAAAGCTCAGAAGACCAGAAAGTCGGTAGAGACCAGGCTCAGGAGGTGTCTGCTGGGAAGGATTGCATCAGCTGCGGGACTCTAGAAGATATGTGCTATGGCTTGACAGAAGGTTTACCTGAATTTTGCTTGTGTTCATAGACCTTGCTGGAAGATTCAGAGCTACCAGCTGAAGAAGCAGAGCTGGAACACCTCAGGCCATTCTGTATGGGAGATTCTGGTCAGAGCTCAGAAGACAAGAAAGCTTATAAAAACCACGCAAGGGAGGTTTCTGCTAGGAAAGACTGCATTGGCTGTGACTCTAAAAGATGTGTGCTGTAGCTTGGCAGAAAGTTTGTCTGCATTTTGTTCATGTCCAGAGACTGCCTGAGACTGAGATAAGGGCCGGTGGACTAATTAATCTTGCAGAAGAGATTTCAAGGCAGTGGAATATTGAGGCGGTGGCATGGCTACTGTTAGGAGGTTTTAGATAGAGCTATGTTGAGAATCAAGAGCAAAAAGCCCAGCAGAATGATTTAAAACATTTTGGTTTGCGCCAGAAAGGAAGTTCCAGTAAAGCTATGGATTGCAAAGATAGTGCAGAGATCTTGATTGCTGAAAAGGAGCAGAATAGAAAAGATGGCCTGAAGGCATCACAGGAAGTAGCAGGACTCCACCCTTTGCAGTCTCAGAGTTGTAAAGGTGAAAGATTTTGCTTTGAGAAGCCCCAGAGTACCATGTTCCAGAATGGCAGCAGCCTAGGGAAGTTTTTCCAAAATGGCAGCCTAGAGAATTTGTTCCTCAGGATTGGGTTCAGAGTGCTCAGCAATCCAGGCACTTGACCCCTACAGCCAAGAGAGAAGGAAGCCTGGCTACTGCTCCAGCTGGCAGCAGACCTTGGCATCATCCATGCAGTGCTAGTTTTAGGCACATGCAGAATGCAAGACTTGTGGGGTCAGCAATGCTTCCGCACAGATTTCAGAAGGCCTGGGAGGCCAGGCAGAGGTCCCTGAGAAGGCAATGTGTGAAGCTGTGAGTGTGAAGCTGAAGGTGCAGTGGAGACCCCTGAAGTTCGAAGAAGCCAGGAGCATGGATCTTCTTAGGAAAACTGCAAAGAGGGAGCAGAGCCAGCCCAAGAGAGAAGCCATGCGAGCTACAACCATTAACCACTAACCACTAAAAGTGCTGCAGGGGCAGAGCCACCCAACTCCTTTGGAGTTCACAACTCCAAACTGCCTCGAATTGTGGAAGTGGAACTATGGAATGGAGTGCTTGGCCTAGTGGATTTTGGACTTTGGTCCCATTCCTCTGTATCCTCCTGTTTGTACCTTTCGGAATGGTAACATCTATCTTGCACCATTGAATGTTGAAAGTGTTTAACCCTCTTTTCATTTGTACAGGGACTTGCAGCTAAGAGTTTGCCTTAAATCTCAGAGGAGACTTTGGACTTGGGAGTTTTCAGCAATGCTGAAGTTAGGATTTTGGCAACTCGGAGATGGACTAAATGTCTTTTGCATAAAGTAATGTACATGAGTCTTTGGTGGGGGACAGGGGCAAAATGTTATGCTTTGGGTCCAGATGCCCCACCCCCCACCCCCAAAGCCTCACGTGATCATAGGCTTGATCTAGTGTGAAGCTGGAATTGATTCATGATGCAATGCTAGGCTCAAGGGCACTAGGATTAAGGGTGTGAATGCTGCCCACCCTAAGTAGTCTGAGTAAGATAAAAGGGGCAGAGCCACTGTTAACCTTCCCTCTTGTTACCTTTTGTTGCCTTGTGCATGCCATGCTGTTCCTCCTCTCTCATGCCCATTTGTCATTCCTGCCTTGGAGTCAACTGATTATGGACTGAAACTTCTACAAACTGTAAGCCAAATAAACTCCTTCCACTTTGAGAGTCTGGTATGTTGTCTCAGCAACGAGAGAAAAGTAACTAACACAAATCCACTACCTGTAAGTGAAAATGAGCAGAGAAGGTGGGAAAGGATACCTGCTAGGACAACACTCCAGAGAGGGATGCAGCCAACTCATGGCAAGGCAGGAGCTGGGGGAATACATGACTTCACTTTTTCTCTCAACTGCCAATCTGCTGCTGCCATTTCTGATGTGTTCAATCAGAAGAAAAGCCAGGGGGCAAGGACCTATCTCACAGAGCTGAGAGCAGAGTGGAAGAGGGTGGGGTGGGGCCGGAGGGGCAAACCCAGCACAGCTGGGCTCCATGCACAAACAACCACATCTGCATGATTAATGTCAGGACTCAGTTTCTCCTTTTGTCTCTCTGCTCTTTGCTTTTCTGAATCCATTCTGCGATTGGCTGTTTTCAGTAGAAGCTCCAGGCTTAAATCATTCTTTATTCACAATTCCAAATAATGAAAGGGTAAACACACATACAGCACTCACACTCTAGGTGCTGCTGAAAGGCCTTCACAGTCAATGATTCCTCACAATCACCCCATAAAGTAACTGCAATTTACTTATAACTTAGCCTCTCTGGAGTGTGGGCATCATTTTTCTTTTGCCAGCTGTGAGATGAGATTATTCTCTTTTCCTACTCCTTTTATGTTTACTTGGCTTGTAGATCCAGTTAAATGGCAATAGATTTTGGCTCAGGAAGTCCACATTTGGCCCCCCAAAATCCAACTAGGCACTGCTAAAAGGCCCTTATACACAATCAGTTATCCCTCATAATCATCCAATAAAGGAACCACTATTGTTCTTTACCAGTGAAAAAACTGACATATGGCTGGTAAGCGGAGAAGGAAAGGTCAGTTCGACTCAGGCATCTAGCTCCAAAGCCTGCTTGTAACCACTGTATGACATTGCCTTCTGAAAAGTAAACCCATCTCCTACAGGCGTCAAAACACTTATCACAGGGACCCTGGTGCTGTCGGGTCAGGTGCTCAGTCCGGGATCAGTCACAGTGTCCAGGATGTGCTGGGGTGCTGAGTTTGCTAACCTAAGTCATACGTGCATCCCCATGGCAGGAACACATGACTAGTAACAATTTTCCTCTAACAGAGATGCCAGACTGATGTAAAAGGTAGTAAGTGTCCATCACTGGCTGTGCGGGCTTAAGAGAATAGGGCACTAGAAACTAGAGATCTAATTCTAGTTCTGCCTATGTGTTGTCCCTAACCTCAAGGAAATCACGTATCAGTGATTTTCTTCCACACAGATTCTGATTCTGACCTCATCTACATCCAAAGGTGGTGGTCAGTATGGGTGAAAAGATTCAAAGATATCTATACAAATATCTAACTATAATTATATAGATAAAACACATATTAAATTGTACCATTAACTATTTGCAAGTGCACATTTGTAACTAAAGCTGAGATCTACTAGTCAAGTGAATTAAGCAGAGAGCTTCTGAAATAAGTTTTTTAATGAACACTAACTTTGAAACTTGCCCCAGATATAATTTCCTTTTTAAAAATATGAGGTAAAGCAAATGAAACTGGAATTTTTTCAAGTGGTCATGCAGGCATTACACACAATTATTTCCCAAGAATAAACCAAAAGCACAAGCATAAGTTTATTAATTTTAGCAGAATACAGTGACAGGTGGCTTGTGAACAACTAATGGGTAGGTTTGGTTGTTTGATTAGTTCCAGCATATTTGGCATTTTTTATTAACTGGTACATAAATGAATAGAAAAACAAAAGATTGTCATATTGCCCTTTGTATGTCTCCTTTAGTATGTCGGCATGGTAGTCTACTAGAAAGTAGTAAATGGCTTCAATTGTAGAGAGGAAAGTATCCGGCTTTCCTTCCTGATGGCGCCAAAACGAGGTTTTTCTTGTTTTCAACTCAACTTGTAACAACCCTGCCAAGAAGAAGAAGGAGAAGAAGGAGAAGGAGAAGGAGAAGGAGAAGGAGAAGGAGAAGGAGGAGGAGAAGAAGGAGAAGAAGGAGAAGAAGGAGAAGGAG